CGGTACGGGCAGCGTCCGGGACTCGCACTGATATGTGGCGGCTATCTAGAATATGCACAGCTGTCTCTTCGTTGCTGCTGCTGCTGCTGCTGCTGCTGCTGCTGTTGCTGCTGCTGCTGCTGCTGCTGCTGCTGCTGCTTGTGCTGTCCCCTGCAAGCAGAGGCTTTACGCGACAGAAGACACGGATAGCAGACATCTCATGCCGTTGGGTGTTGTTGCTGCTGCTGCTGCTGTTGTTGCTGCTGCTGCTGTTGCTGCTGCTGCTGCTGCTGCTGTTGTTGTTGTTGTTGCTGCTGCTGCTGTTGGTGCTGCTGTCGGTGCTGCTGCGGTTGCTGCTGCAGCTGTTGCTGCTGTTGGCCCCGCCTATGGCGCTGCTGTTTTCGCTGGCGTTTCCCTTGCTGCTGCTGCTGCTGCGGTTGCTGCTGCTGTTGCTGCTGCAGCTGTTGCTGCTGCAGCTGTTGCTGCTGCAGCTGCTGCCGGTGCTGCCCTCCGTCTGCTGCTGCATCTGCGTAGAGTTGCTGCTGCTGGGGTTTGGTCTCTCCTTACTTTTAGCTGTGCATACACCTGAATCTGAGGTGTATGTACACCTGAACCAGTGGTGTGGCCCTAAACCCTAAACCCTAAACCCTAAACCCTAGAAAGTAGAGCCGTTTCTTTCTCTCGTTCCTCAAGTTATTCGTTTTCTTAACAGGTTAAAAGGGAAAATTAGGGTTTAGGGTTTAGGGTTTAGCGTTCAGGGTTTAGGGTTTAGGGTTTAGGGTTTAGGGTTTAGGGTTTAGGGTTTAGGGTCTGGACCAGTGGTCCACCCGAGCAGCAGCAGCGGCTGCCGGTATTTTTGCATATTGTTTGGGAGACAATTAAAGAAAAAGACAAAAATATAAAAAGGGTTTAGGGTTTAGGGTTTAGGGTTTAGGGTTTAGGGTTTAGAGATATGTGCCAGGGGGCCTACAAAGAAGAGAAGGCGAGGGGACCGGTGGGGTTGGTGTTACTCAGCCACCGCAAACCCTAAACCCTAAACCCTAAACCCTAAACCCTAAACCCTAAACCCTAGAGAAAGAACTTTTTCTGTTTCGTGACAAGGACGGGAGGCCGAGAGTATAAAACCCTAAACCCTAAACCCTAAACCCTAAACCCTCAGTTTCAAGCCCTTAAACACTCAGTACTTTACTCTAGACCCTACACTATGAACCCTAAACCCTAAACCCTAAACCCTGAATTTCAAGCCCTAAACCCTAAACCCTAATCCCTAAACCCTAAACACTGGAGAGAACTACCGTAGGCGTCATACATTAAACCCTAAACCCTAAACCCTAGACAACCAGGACCTAAACCCTAATCCATAAGGACCTAAACCATAAACCCTAAACATATAGGAGATAAACTTTAAACCCTAAACCCTAAACCCCTGACCGTTCAATACCTAAACCCTAAACCCTAAGCCTTAGGGCCTAAACCCTAAACCCTAAACCCCAGCGACCTAAACCCTAAACCCTAGCGACCTAAACCCTAAACCCTACCGACCCAAACCCTAAACCCTGAGGACCTAAACCCTAAACTCTAAGGATCTAAACGCTTAACCCTAGGTGCCTAAACCCTAAACCCTAGGGACCTAAACCCTAAACCCTAGGGACCTAAACCCTAGACCCTAACGAGCCAACCCCTAAACCCTAAACCCTAAACCCTAGGGACCTAAACCCTAAACTCCACCGCATTAAAAGTCAAGAGAAAAAATACCCAATTATGCTGCAGCAGCAGCAGCAGCTGCTGCAGCAGCTGCTGCTGCTGCTGCAGCTTTTGCTACCTCAGCTGTTGCTGCTTCTACTGCAGCAGTTGCTGCCGCAGCTGCTACGGCTGCTGCTGCTGCTGCTGCTGTTATACTCACCATCGCATGCAACAGCAAGAACATGTCTATAAGGATGA